TAGTTTTAAAAACTTATTGTCTGCTGGTTTCTTTTATTTATTTATATTTTATTTATTTAACAAGCACAATAGTTACCCATTATAACAGTTGTGCCAGATGTATTGTGCCGAGACGAAGCGTGGACAATATATAGTTAGTATTAGCAGCGTTGAAGTGTGTCGTTGGTGGTGGGTTTAGCTCGGGCCGAGGGGCCCAAAGGCTGGCCCGTCTCTGCAGCAGATAACCATAGCAACGACCATAGCTAATTACATTGTTAAATTTAACCAAAAGGGAAGTCGTAAAAAACAAAAAAACAAAAACCTATGTAGTGACCAATACAGGTAATATTCAGAGGGCTTTACTGGAGAGAAATAAAAGATTGATTCCTCTCCACCCCCTCAATTATCAGTTGGTCAGATTATATCGTATGCAATATAGTCGATTGCCTCAAGCAAAGATATGCAGATTGGACACTATACGTAATCCATTACCTCAGCGCTGGACTGAAACGTCACTCATATATTGACTTTTCGGCCGTTTTGTGCTGTTACCTTACCTGGTTAAGTTTTCTATCTCTGCAGGTATACTTTTCAATCTGTTTCCTCCGAGTGAAAGCGACTGCAAGCGCAGCAGTTTGGTACACTGAAGCGGGATCTCCTCGAATCGGTTCCCGCTAAAGTTCAGCACCTCCAGCTGCAGAGAGCCGAACTCCTTGGGCAGCGAGAACTCGTCCAAGCGGTTGTTCTTGGCTATAAGTGTTTTCAGCTTGGTCAGGCGCATAATGTCCTCACAGATGAACGAAAGTCCGTTGTTGCTAATGTCCAGAAACTCGAGGTTGAAGAACAGGGTGACCGACGACGGCAGCGAGCCCAGTCGGTTGTAGTTCAGGTAGAGTTGTTTGGTGTCTCTTTTCCTCCTGTCGGTGATACTGTCAACGCTCAGAGTGTTCAAACCCAAGCGTGAGAAGTCGAGCACGCCGTCGCCCACTGCCGCTGCCCGTTCGTGACTCTCCATTTTGGCAATTTTGTTTCCTTTTTTTCAACTCTGCAAAAGTTTCGCAGAGAACGTTTAACGTCAATGCGTGACTTAGCTCCACAAGTTGCCTATTTTTAACATAAAGCACGAGCATCTACCAGTAACATTTAACAGCATTTCTAATCACGTCTAAATGACTAATGTATTGCTTACAACAGGCTGAAATAAGCCACAA